GAGGTGAATGAAAAAAATTTTTTGAGGTCAACGTTCCGGAACGTCAGATTCTAGTACATTCACTTTTGTTGCCAACCAATGCTGAATGATCTTCTGCTTGAATGATGTAAAATTAGAGGACCATTACGAGCATGCCAACATGGCATTTTCGACACAGCATGACCTTAACGCAATGAGATTTTCGGCAAACGCAGTTTTTTTTTGGAAAAAGTAGAACTGCCATTCGATTCCCGAAAAAGCCATGGAAGAGCCTCGTACGACCATTTTATGAGTTTTAGACTGGGCAAACTTGTTTTTGAAAACGGTCAATGCCTCAGAAGGACTTCCACTGCTAATGATGAGCCTTTTCACCATAATAAAACGAAAAATAAAAGTATACAAATATAAATATAAATCAAATTATATAAATATAAATAAAAGTAAAGCAATAGGAATATAATAAACAATAAACCAATGAAAATAATAACTTAAATTATAACAGATAGGAAGAGCTCATAGCATGGAATCTTCAATATTCAGTTGTCATTTTTTGATAATTAGCAGAATCGCGACCGACTCTATATCAATCTCGGCATGACGGCAGTTAATAAGATGAGACGTTTCTTGAGCAATTCGAAAATCCGGCTAACGCCTCGGCAGTATCGCCTTCCTCAGAGCTTCTTATTCGAAAAAATGTTTTCGAATCAACTAGTGGGATATGTTTCAATTTGTGCTGCAATTCGCGCTCCAAAAGTTATGTAATTGTCAGCTTCAGAAATTTCTGTTTCTGGTATCCGTAGAAATCGGCACGGACGTTCCCGTCAACACAGTATTGCCTGCAGCTGGCGGTATGGGACCTGTGTTTTTTATGCCACCGCTTAAAGGAGCAATGGTCAAAAGTGATCACAATCAGGATTTTCCTGTTATCACTAAGCGATCCACGATCAGCAGAAAAAAACCAAACTGTTCAGTGGGCATAGGTGCAATCCTAGACTAATAATTGGATTGGAAGAACTCCCGAAACGGCGAGAAGGTTGCTTTTTACAAGGTCACAACGAGAGGAACTAATCAAGTTTCCCTACGAACGGTGGAGAAGGTGCAAGGAAGGACACAAGACTAAGTGAATCATTTAAATCAATTTTTCGCAAAAGATTTGCTTCACCCCCACTTCACAGGATGTGTCCACCGCCCTCCTTTTACCTCCCGTTGAATCTGAGTTTTTTTCTTCATCATTTCTTTTTATCAGTTTTATCGGTCACCATTCTTTATACTATGTTGTATTTTGTTCAGTTTACTAACCGATAATAAATCATAATCAGTGCTCCTTCCCGTGCCTTGGCCCTTCGCGGTCTATGGACAACTTGAAATTATTCCCTCGCACCAGTCACCTGTTTTTCTCTGCACTCTCTCTCGTGCGAATGGTACTCACTCCCGGACTTCCTTCCCATTGAAAAAGCCCATATCCTGGCTTACCACAGTTTTTTGCACATCTCGATGCTTCGACAGTGGCTGTCCTCTATCTGCATGTGTTAGATGGTTTCGCAACAGGACCATGCACAAAATTCAAGGTGTCACGTAACCGCAATTCTCCATGCACGGGTTCACAGTCACACTTGCACGTTCCAAAACTGGATGCTACCTTTCAACCGGCGAATTTTGATTGTCATCAACGCTCTGCGTTATCGTTCCAGGGAAGGGAACCTATGATGAAATAGAAATGAGTATCATGTCTTTCGCATCATTCCCCAGTAGCGGTATGCATACATGCCCCCTCATCCACACAACGCCGGTTATCTATTTATTTACTTGTTTAGCCACCTTTTTAGCCGAGTAGGCATTCTTCCACCTTTCCCAGGAGGTGCTGGTTGCCAAGAAAAAAGGCTACCTTCCAAATTTTTCTTCTCATAACAACCAATCCCTAAACGATCAGAAAATCAGCCTTTTCTGAATAAGAGCGCAATTTAGAGGATTAGAGCGACGATTGAGGGGGTAAAGATGTTCCTGGCGAAATCGCGATTGGATATGGAAACAATAGAGGAAAAATGGGCTCAGTGCGGCCCAGTGGGGGCAGCACGGTCAGAGTCATGTGAACCCTGTACAGGCTACCTAGAGGAATCTCGTAAGTTTATGCATCCAATGCAGCTTCCTTGTACCATTTTGCTGTTTCACAAGAGTTTATAAGTTTCCCCAGTTGACGTGAACGAGCAAAAGGAACATGCAACAATGCAAAATACCCACCCAAGCCAAAAAATGCGACAGTTCCATTTTGTCGTACATCATTTATTGGCTTTCAAAACTGCGACAGGCAGGCACAAGTGAATTGATCTTTGATGAACGGCGACCTTTAGTTGCGACAAAGTGGTTTCGACTGGTTCAAACATCACAAGAAGACATGATTTCATTTGAGGCGAGGCCGACTTGCAAAAAACTGATCATTTCGTGGAAGGGTTTCGAAGCAGAAACAGTGACGGGGAGTGGCATACAAGTGATAAGACAGGATCGCTCGGTGGAGGATGGAAAGGGAGGTCTTGGGAGGAGGGGAGATCCGATGAGCCATCTAAAATAGTTTTTTGCTGTCTGTAGCAGTTTCGGGAGCAGATACAACTATGTTGCCTGTCGCGCATCAGTCCCGGCGCTGCAGAGAGCGTTGGTGAGCTCGCCCTGCTCCCTTTCTACCACTAGTAATCGATTTGTGACTGATTTAGTAAGACATCCGTTTGGTTGAAAACGCCATTTGAGTGACGGCTTATTCCATGCCTCTTGACTCC